AAGTGTGTGGAGAGGTGACGTAACGGACACCGTTCCGTCTGTTCAATTCCCATTGTGCATAAGGCGTTCTCTTATTTACTTTGAGAGATTGCTCCACACTGTAACTGGTGAGACTCGATCCCTGGTCATTCTTTCTAACTTTCACCTCTATGACCATTTGAGCTGCCCATACGAGCTATTATTATTATTATTATTATTATTATTATTATTATTATTATTATTATTATTAGAAATTAACGGCAGAAACAAGAAACGAAGTCGTTTTTGCCCGGGCGTACAACGCATTGCGCACCATGGTGCACGATATAATTTGCCACTTTGTAGTTGGTGATTTTTATCATGGACCAGAGTCTACATAGTATATTATAAACCTAAATCAAAACGATGAGATACATAATTCATACTCGTATGATACAGAATTACATAACACAAGACGCATACACATGTTATATATTTACTTAATTTTTGAATTTGATTTAGCTACATAATTTGTGCTCATAGGAATAAAATGTTACAACACAAGACACATAAATTCATAACATACGACACAATTAGTAATTAATTTTAGATAAATAATATATACTCTTAAGATACATAATTTGATAATACAATATACAAAAACTCATAATATAAAATATATACACATGCACTAGGAGCACAATATATTATGAATCCTGATCCATGATATAATAATTGTTTGTAGTTTCAGTAGTTGGACAAGTATTTTGAATGCAAATGCTGTAATCTGCAAACATTCAGAAATGTTTCGACGTTTTCAGTGCCATGTTAAATACTAAGAACCTGAGTTTTTTTTGTTCCTTTTTAGGGATATTTTTAAATATTCAATTATGATTGTGATGTTTAGGGTTTATTTGAAAATTAAGTTGGAAAATATTTTTTGGAAAACGAGACATTGTTCAGAAAACATTTTTATTTCTAGTGTTTGATTGCATTTTGAAAAATTTAGTGTGGTTAATTTATTTTTTAGAAAATGAGTAGAATTGTATAATTAAACATTTTGGCGGAAAATGACTTCTCTAGTCAAGGAAAAATATTTTCCGTTGACTGAATTTTCCTGTTACATCCAAACACTGAAAACTTAAAAAACATTTTCAAGTCATTTTTCAAATTTGCAAACGGACCTTAATTTGTATTCAATTGGTAAATTCTTATTAAAGGGGTGAAATTGATCCCTAACAAATTTGACAATTCGTGTTTCGTGTTATGAACTTGGACAATACATGAATATGAAAATAAAACACAAATTTGTAATGGGTTCTTGAATGATATGAATGGTCACTAGTCAACTTGAAATCATTATATCATATATATACTATCATCTATTCTAACACATAAAGTACATTATTATAACTCATAAAATACATTATATTACATTAGAAATTTTATTATTCTAACACATAAATTTCATTATTCCTGTTAAAAAAGTATTTTATTCTAACACAAAGTACATTATTCTAACTCATAAAATACATTATCTTATCTCAGAATATTTATTGAGTTAATACCCAAAATCGTCCTCGACTATAGTGATTTTTCTCAATTTCGTCCTCAACGACTTTGGTGACCTAATATCGTCCCAGACTTTTGTGTTTCGCTCAATTTAGTCCTAGACTTTTGTGATTTTGCTCAATTTAGTCCCTCATTTGTTATTCTGTCCATTTGGTGTTAAATAAATAGACAATTCAGTAATTTTAATATTAGCATCTCTTTACTCATAGACATGTGAACTGCGAAATCCTTTTTTTTTTTTACGAATTACTCCCAGAATTACTCCTAAAACTGCGAATATAAAATTTGATTTGCAAGTCCGGGAGTAATTCTGGGTGTAATTCGTACAAGAAAGAGGAATTTCGCACTTCACAAGTTGAAAGTAAAGAGAGATCAATGTTGACATTACTGAATTGTCCCTTAATTTAACACCAATTTGACAGAATAACAAATATAGGACTAAATTGAGCGAAACACAAAAGTCTGGGACGATATTAGGTCACCAAAGTCGTTTAGGACGAAATTGAGAAAAACCACTATAGTCGAGGACGATTTTGGGTATTAACTCAATATTTATTATTCTAACACGTGCGGAGAAAAGAATTTTTTAAACATCAAAACGACATCATTTTGAATCGTGGTCCACACAATAATTTGCCTTGAATATTTCAAAGGTCTAGCATGCATTTAATACTATTATTCCCTCCGTCCCATTTTATATGTTTGGTTCAGTTAACGATACTTGACGTAAATTATTTACTATTTAATTTTTCATAATATTAAGTTTAAAATTAGTATGTAAAATTTATATATTTAGAAATTACATTAAAATTACTATTAAACACAAAAAAAAATAAGTTTATAAATTATAAGAAAATGCTATAGAAGTAAGCAAAGAAGAAATAATTGGTTTTATCAATGAATAGTAAGTAGGACAAATAAAATGGAAAAGAGAGGGTATTATTTTTCCTCATTAACTATTTGCATACCAACCCAATTTTATTTAGTGGTCGAATTTATTTAATTTATTTAATCTGTAATTAAGCATTAACAAATTCAAATGTTTCGCCCTATTATGAGGTTTTCAGTGCCATAATATATTTTATACGAGAATTAAGATATATAATGTTTTGTTGTTGTTGTTGTTGTTGTTTTTGTTGTTATTGTTGTTGTTGTTGTTGTTGTTGTTGTTATTATTATTATTATTATTATTATTATTATTATTATTATTATTATTATTATTATTATTATGGAAGTTTTATAATATTTCCAAAAATAATAGATTTTTTTTTTTTACAAAAAATTAATTGACACTATTACTTGTAGTAACTAATATTAAATTCATTGTGACAAATATTATTATAGCTAATATAGTTAAAATAAAATATTAATATTAAATTGGTATTTCTATTTTTAGTAATAATGTATTGAACACATTACTGCAAGTAAAAATATCATTGAGTGACACAATTTTTTACTTTATTTAGTGACACAAATAAAATTTTGTTACTATTTTTTATTTACGAAAAAGTCCACTGCTGTTATCTAAAAGTTCACTTTGAATGAAGCCCGCCTTGTGACACTAGACAAATTATTGTGTGGACCATATAACAAAAAAAAAATATTTTTAATATATAAAAAGTATATTATTCGTGTACTGAATGTACGTTATACAAAATAATGTACTTTTCCCTGAATACAATGTACATTTCAAATATACTAAAAGTACATTATTTGATAGTATGTCGTCTTACACAATGATTAGTGACAATAAATGATACAAGAAACTGGTAAACTAATCTAAATTGTTCATACCTGATTGAACCAAAATGGTCACTTAGAGGTCAATTTTGGAACCTCGAAATTATACATACCAAACCGATTATATTGTTTGACTAATTTAGTTGAGGTTGCATGCATTCACTTCTTAGGGTCCATGAATGAGGGCAATTTATATCCTACACCACGGCGCGCGTTGCACTGTGCACCCATATGCAAAACGACATCGTTTTAATTATTATTATTATTTTTTTGAAATTTCCCGCCCCAGTGTATGACAGTTATTTTTTCTTTTAAAAAAAAGCCCCTGTTCAAAAATGTACATAATGTTATACTAGAATACACATAATTGTATACATGAATGTACATAATTATATAACAAAATATACATACTCTTTTTAAAAGATAATACACATAATCTAACATAATACATAATAAACATAAACTTTTAACATAATACACATCAACTCTTAACATAATACACACAAATTTTCTGATTCGGATGTCCATAATTGTATAAAAAGAATGTACATAATTATATAAAAAATGTATATAACTCTATGAACAAATATACATAATTGTATGAACAAATATACATAATCACAACAACTTCTTACCGCGCCTCCCAAAACGACGTCGTTTTGGGAGGCGCGCGACGCACAGTGCTACGCGCGCCGTGATATAGGATATAACGATTGATGAATGAGAGTTATGCCAAGTGATACCCTTAGCCCATCTCAAATAATCCAATCCAACAAAGGATATTTAAAAGGAAGACTTGTTATCAAAATATTCAAAAGATGCCTCACTAACAACCATAACAATCACATGGAGATAATGAAAGATCGATGAGCATTAATTTATCTATTGAAGCCTTGTAACAACACTATGATAGTCAAGAGTGTACGCTACAAATTTAAAAAGAACGCATACATTTAAAAAAAAATAATACAGTTCAACATTATAACATTGGCATTTAAACAAGAAAATACTATATTTTATTACTAGTTTCTACTCTTAATTTTTACTTCAACACATAAAATTTTAATATAAATTAAAATCTACATAAAAAAACAACTTATAAATGTGCGCTACATCAAGAAGTAAAATTTAAGAAGTGCGAATTGAGAGTAAATTAAATTTAGTTAAACTCTTTACGGGCTGTTTGGTTGGAGCTAGTAGTTTAGGTGTAGTTGAATTGCGTTTTCGCGGAGACCACAATTACGCCGTTTGGTTGGAGGGAATTGCAATTCGCTCCAAATGCTGAATTACAATTCCAAACTCCCCCAGGAACTGTAATTCAGTGTTGAATTGGAGATTGGAAAGATATTTTTGTCCCTGACATCTATTATTATTATTAGTACATGAGGACATTTCAGTCATTATATCATTTATTCCCTTTCAATTCACTGTAATCTTATTTTGCATACCAATCACTGTAATTTGAATTCCTACTTTATTCTTACCTTATTCTTTTCACCAAATTACAATTCATTTTCACCATAATTCTTTCCTTCCAACCAAATATGTGTTGGTCTAGTCTGGTAGTCTCTTCCAATTTCATGCTCATCATCACATTACACGTGTCATCCTCTACTGAAACCTAGCTGGACTTCCTCTCCTGCCCCTACTTTAATGCACTTTTTTACCTTCTTCTATATAACCCATGCTTTCTACATTTTTCTTTCCACACATTAATTTCCCAACTATTCTCTCTCTTCTTCTTGTCAACCATGCATTCCATTCTTCTTCCTTTACCCACTCCAAAGTTACACTCCACTACTTCTCCTTCTTTTGTTACATGCAAAATTCTTGTTAAACCTTCTAAGCCACCAAAAACGCTTCCCGGAGTAGTAGCTCCGCCGCCGTCACCGTCGGTGCTGCCACCGCCACTGGTAGCCCCGGCGGTGAAACCTGTAAGGAGGCATGAACTGAACCCGGTTCAAAAGCTTGCTGCCTCGGCTTTGGACATGGTGGAGAGATCAGTTACCAGACTAGAAAAGAAGCACGAACTGAACCGGACGGTTGACCCCGCGGTTCAGCTTCAGGGGAACTTTGCCCCGGTTCAGCATGGGCTCAAGGTGGTGGGCCGAATTCCGCCGTGCCTGACCGGCGTTTACGTTAGGAATGGGGCTAACCCGCTGTTTGAACCGCTCACCGGCCACCATCTGTTCGACGGTGACGGGATGATTCACGCCGTTACGCTGAGTCCCGCCGGGAATGAAGCGAGCTACTCGTGCCGGTTCACGCAAACGAGCCGGTTGGTTCAGGAATCGGCGTTAGGGAGGCCGGTTTTTCCGAAGCCGATTGGGGAGCTGCATGGCCACCTCGGCTTGGCTCGGCTCGGGTTGTTCTTCGCGCGAGCCATGATTGGCTTGGTGGACAGCTCGAGCGGGACCGGCGTGGCTAACGCCGGCTTAGTGTATTTCAATAATCGGCTCCTAGCCATGTCGGAGGATGATCTACCCTACTGCGTCCACATCAAAGACGACGGTGACCTCGAGACGATCGGACGGTTCAGCTTTCACGACCAGATCCGCGATCCCCTCATAGCTCATCCCAAAGTGGACCCCACCACAGGAGATCTCTACACTCTTAGCTACAACGTGCTCAACAGACCTTTCCTTAAACTCTTCAAGTTCGACACGTGCGGTCAAAAGTCACGTGACATACCCATTTCCCTCCCCGACCCGACCCTCGTCCACGACTTCGCAATCACCCAAAATCACGTGATCGTCCCGGACTACCAAGTCGTATTCAAGTTATCCGAGCTGATCCGGGGCGGGTCGCCCGTGGTCCACGACCCGAACAAAGTCTCCCGATTCGGAGTTTTACCGAAAAACGACGCCGACGAGTCGAATATCCGGTGGGTCGAGGTCCCCAACTGTTTCTGCATGCATCTATGGAACGCGTGGGAAGAATTCAACGAAGAAGGAGAAGAAACCATCGTGATAATCGGGTCATGCATGACACCCGCCGCCACCATTTTTTCCGGCGGAAACGACCCATTAAAGACAGAACTATCCGAAATCCGGCTAAACCTAAAAACCGGCCGGTCGAGCCGGCGGGTCATCGTCTCCGGGATGAACCTAGAAGCCGGACAAGTAAACAAGAATCTTCTCGGCCGGAAAACGCGGTACGTGTACATGGCGATAGCGGAGCCGTGGCCGAAATGCAGCGGCGTGGCAAAGGTGGACTTAGAGAGCGGAAAGGTGACGGAGTTTAGGTACGGCGACGGAATATTCGGCGGGGAGCCGTGTTTGGTGGCGGCGGGGGAAGAAGAAGAGGAGGGGTATCTGATGAGCTTCGCTCGAGACGAGAGAAAAGGAAGATCGGAGTTGACGATAGTGAATGCATCGAACATGAAGAAGGTGGCGTCGGTAAAGCTGCCGAGGAGAGTACCGTACGGGTTTCATGGTACATTCGTTAGTTGGGAAGAACTACGTAAACAAAGCTTAGATTAGATTAGATTAAACTTACGTAGCTAGAATGCATGCATGCATGCAAATTGCTGGTGTAATTCTTTATGTAATTAATAATAGTCTTACCTATACTCATCACCATTCTTTACCTCTAATGTGCATGCATAATAATGTTATGATAATTTTATGCCAAGAAAACGTATTTGAAAACAATGATTACGGTCCTGTTAGGTGAAATGGCTGTTAGCTGATAGCTGTTTGCTGTTAGCTGATTGTGTTAATTAGAGGGTATAAATAGTTGATAACATTAGTTAATTATAGAAAAGTGTTTGGTAAATTAGCTGTTAGCTGATAGCTGTTTGGTATAATTTCTTTTCTCAAAAAGCTAATTGAAAAAGTTGTTAGGAGTAACTTTTTTAATTTTAGCATTTTGGAGTTGCAAAAAGCTAATTAACCAAACATTTATATTGATATTTTAACTAAATCAAACAATTTATAGTGATCAAATAAGTTAAAATTGGCCTATAGGCCAATTTTTTACCAAACAGGGCCTACATGTTTGAGGAGTATAACTGATCGAGTAATAGCTGTTTAATTTTTTGTGTACTGAAATGCAGAGGGTACGGTGTTTCAATCCCATCTATTTTTTATTGTATTTTTTTAATATTCACCCATCTCATTTTATTTATTGATATGGCTAACCAGACTTGTGAAATGCTGAGTAGGATAATAATAATAATAAAATGTAAAATAAAAAAATATATATGGCATCCTAATTAGTATAAATTTGTTGTTAACTTGTTAATTGCTTCTTTTTTTTTTCAAGTTTATAGATAAATTTAAAATTTATTTCAGTTCGATAGCTTAATTGATATCTCCAAATAGTTCAAAAACCTATTTATATTTTTTTTTTTTTTTGGATGTTCATTACAATTTCAAGTGGGCATGGCATGCATTTGGATTCTTTTAAGTTCTATTTGGAAACTTAGAAAAAGACTTATGAAAATTATTTAATTTAGTTATCAATAAAAAATGTTTGAAAATATTTTTTGTTGACTGGAGAAAATGTAGGTATTTTGGTGAAAAATGACTTCCGTCAACACTCAAAACATGGTTTTCGGTGGAAACCATTTTTTTTTTTGATAAATAATATTATTTTAAATATTTTTATATTTTAAATAAAATATTTAAAATGTTTAATTATACAATTCTACTCATTTTCTAGAAAATGCACCAACCACACCAAGTCAATTTTTCATAATGCAACCAAACACTAGAAAGTAAAATGTTTTCTGAAAAATGATGATGACTTATTTTTCTGATTTTCAAACGGACCCTTAGTCGCCTAGTTATGAGCAAATTATAGATTTAGTCCATCAATTATTTGTGATGCAGATTTAGTCCTTCATTTACTATCAAAATGGTGGATTTAGTCCTTCATGCATCAAATCATTCATTTTATTAAGTGATATATTGGTGGCAAAATTAGTTTCTGAGAGATCTTTGATAATAATTGAGAGACTAATTTGACATTTCAAATAATTGAATGACTAAATTTACACTTTAGTTATAATTGTGAAACAGTCCGCGATTCAAGTTCTTTGTAGCATTGCTAGGAAAGTTGTTTTTATGTCCGACTGTAAGGAATGGTTCATTCCATCGATCCTATTTGTAATCGCTTCATCATATAATTAAATAAATGAGTTTAGCTTCTTTATTTTCAAAAAAAAAAAAAAAAAAAAAAAAAAAAAAAAAAAAACATCATCTTCCGTAAAACCATTTTAGGATAAACAGTCACATACAGTATATTAGGTTTTATCATAGTTTTTACTTTAATTGGAGATACTGTAGATAAAATAAATTTATAATGTAAATTGTATAAACAAATTACTATAAGTTAGAATTTGTTTGTATATACGTATTTGGGGACATTTAGAGTATATGAGTCACATTTTGCAATTTACTTCTTTCACCAGAGTCCAAATCTCATAGGAGCAGTGAGCTAATAATTAACCCTATTTTGGTTCAAACTTATATATTCTCTCCAAAATTTAATTTCAATGTATAATATAATTATCACAAATATACACTAGCTAGTTCCAATACTACAATTTCTAATAAATAAATAAAATAAAAATATAAACGAATTCATGTGTGATTTAACCTAGGAATTTGGAAAAAAAAAAAAAAAAGTACAACCACTTATTAGGAGTACAATTTGAACCCTATTTGAGTAATATACCTTTTAATACTCAAATTGGAAGAAACTCCAAACAAGTTGGTCAGGTTGTTAACTTAGTAAATATAAACGCACTTAAAGTTCAATCGACTCTCAACAAAAGCGAAAGTATTTTATCAGCTAGAGTTACAAGCATACAAATTTGTCTTATTAGATTGATACCCAATTTTAGTGGTAGTTGTGATCTCTAATTCTGGTCACTAATAATGCTATTTTGTCAAGAATATAAGTAAAAGTGATTGGTTAAGAGTGAAATTTAAAAAAACATTCATATGTATGGATCATGGTGACAACATAACTACATAATTATAGCATAGGTTTCGTTGTTTGAATGAATTGTATATTTAATTTGTACATGTAATTGATATATATGTCTTATCCAACAAAAGAAAAGGATAATGACATAGGCCATGCACAATTCATACATAATTTAATGCGCTGACTAATTGTAGCATAGTGCCATATAGTCCCCCCCTCTCCCCAAGTTGTCACAATTATTTGACCTGTTTTACTAAGGTTTTAGTGTTTGATAATTGGAAATTAAAATGTTTGGAGTCAATTGGCAATTATTAGTGTTTGATAGTCGGTCGACATGACCACACTCACTTGCATGCTCTCATCTAGTGGATATATTGTGGCGTTATAGGTTGGAATCACGGAACCAGTCAAATATCTTGGTGGACGTTTTTCCGACCACATAGAAATACTGGTCGCTATTTTTACGACGTTTGTCAGTGGTCGAAAATAACGACGAAAGCTTCTCTAAATACCGAAAGTCGTCGGAAAAGTGATCAAAACGGCTGTTTTCGATCGTATTTAGGGTATTTTTAATCACTTTCAGGTGGTTAGAAATATCGTGATTTTCAGCAGTACGTGCATCCACTATGATTATCAATTGTTATACCATAAATCGGGATTTACCTTACATTATGAAATTTAATCAAAACAACATTCAAATTGTTATGTGCATGCAGTTAACATATTATGTACATTCAGTTAATAAATTATGTGTCTACTACAATTAACATATTATGTATTTGCAGTTAACATATATTATACGTCTTTAGTTAATAAATTGTATACATGCAATTAATTAACGTATTATGTGCCTTTAATTTATTTATAGGTACATAACTGTAAACACATAACATGTTAACTACAGACACAATGTTATTTTGGACCAAGATCTATAATGCAAGATGAATTTTGATCAATGGTATAATTTTCCCTCTATTATGTTTTATTTATAAATTTTAGACGAAAAAAAATTATTTATATTTAATGGTTATATGTGAATTAATTGGATGGCTTTATTAAAAATTACAAATTAATTGAAAAACGTGGAGTATTAGATTCACCAATTACTAATATGATTGGCAGGCATATATGTTGTCAAATATAGGTTATATAGGAGGAGCTTTCTTAAATCAACTAATAACAGTTTGAAGAATTATTCATAGTGTGGGCAAGAATAATTCATAGTTAAATATACATAAATGAGTCTATATTGCAATGTCAAATTAGGAAGTTATATCTTCATAGTTAAATATATATACATAAATGAGTATATATTGTAATGTCAAGTTAGGAAGTTATGGTCGGATATAGTACGTTATTTTTGTAGGGTCAGAGTCTAGCATGATTAATCTTAACTTCATTTTATTTCAAATCAAGTTAGATCATTTTTAAGTAAACTAGTGCGTATCATAGAAATTTTATATTGATGATAGCGCGTCACCGGAACTAAGGGAACTTGGACAACACTTGGCAAAATTAGGTATTGTTGACTACTTCCACCGTTCCACGTGCAAAAACTGGTTGTAGTTTAGGAAGTTGAAAACTGATGATGGGACAATATTAACGAATATAAGTGGAAGAATAACGAATATAAGTGTTATTAACTTTTTGTAACTTATTGCTCCAAAACGCACGCTAAAATTCAAAAAACTGTTCAAAGTAATTTTTTCGATCAACTTTTTGAGTAAGTCATTTTGCATGTAATCAGCTATCAGTTGACAGCCAATTTACCAAACATCTTTCTACAATCAGCTAATGCTATCAACTAGTCAAATTCATTGACCCAAAATCATTTTTTTATTTATTTTTTCCTTTACAAGTGAATTCATATCACCACATATAATGTATAATTAAATTCTTGTACAAACATAGGCTTAGATGTGTAGGGGTAGATGAAGAAGGGCGGCAGAGATTTCATATAAACACAGGCAAAACCCAAGATCCTGGACAGACAATATTAAATTATTACATGGTTGGCAGGCAAAAGATAATGAAGAAACTGTAAGATTCATAATCATGTCTCCTAACGTGGTACTTATAATTCATTGTTTAGTTTATCTGTGGGTGTTTTTAAAGTCTTTTCTCAAACCCAATTGCAGGTTGACATTTCAGGTGTAATTATTCAGAGCCAATGCTGTATGATTCATGTGAAGTGAAGTGAAGAAAAATGAGCATCTATCCCACAAGCTACAAGAGGGCATATATAGCTTAGTAAAAGTTGACTTACAAGAAAAGATCCCACTAATATGCAAAGGCAGATAGATAGATAGATAGGATGTGGCACTAAAATTGGAAAAACTATACTATGCTGACACATGCCACTTATGGTTTCTAGCAGAGCATAATATAAAAATCTGCAGATATCTTGCTTCCACGTATTAGAGCCATCAAAACGGGCCGACGGGACAGTTCTTAAAATTCAAAGCCTGTCCAATCATTGTTTCTTTGAGTAGCTCATTTTAATTTAGGGCAAATTATACTATGAACTAGGATCTACCTTGGATTGTGGAACATATTATATGATATTCTGTACTTGCAGTTAAACAAACACGAAGTTTTGTTCCTCAGCGAAGTGTTCACTTCTTTTTCGCCAGGTTTCATTCAATTTGTTGTGGATTGGATGATGGAAAAACCAACAAACTACGGCTTCAAAGCTTACCTTATTATAAATAAAGGGTTTTTTTTTATTTTTTTTTTTTAGATTAAGAGATTGAGTAAGGAGGGCGGAACTTGAAAAGCGGAGAGAGCCGTGCTAGCCTATTACATTTTTCAGCAGCAAGCTAGGGTCTAATGACCACCTAGCCTAGGTTGTGGCGGAAACTCAAAAATTCAAATTTAGGAAACCTTTCTAATAAGGTAAGCTTTCAAGCTGCCGCCCTAACTTTATAGGCACATAAACAGTTAACTGCAGATGCATAATATATCAATGATAGACACATAATTTTTGAATCAGGGTCCACAATGCAAGATTGACCCTGGTCCATGGTATAACAATTGGTATTTCAGAATCTTGACAATTACTCTTTGGTGATTTACTTGTGTATATATTTGATAAAGATTAAGCAATAAAGAATATAGAGCTGGACACTATTAGCATCTTTTGTAGGCAATTGAATAAGAAGAGTGCACCACAAAATGACATATTTAGACAAACTATCTGGTATCTCATTCATATCTTCAATGTACAGAACTTAATACTTTACAATATTTACATTTATGAATGTAGCTTGTTAACTTGTTTAATAGAGATTAGAGAGTGTATGGGCATGTATAATTTCTCTGCTCGAGTTTGTTCTTAAGACTTACGTTTAACGTATAATCTCATTTCCTCGCTCTTGTCTTTCGTTGGAGAGCTGCAGACATGGTACGCAATCGGTCTGTTATTTCAGTAAACGATGGCCTTGCCGCTGGATCAGATGACCAGCAATCTTCCATCAACTTTCTCCACTCGGAACCACAATGTTGAGGGATGGGAGGCCTAAGAGTGTTATTTACGATGCCACCTTGCACAGAAGCAAAACCCAAGAACAACAGTCAATCTCGAAAATATTGGCATTAGTGTTATGTCCACCTACTTATCACCAATTGGTTTTAAGAAGGATATGACCAGATAACCAAAGAACTTTTTGGTTAAGCGTGCTTGACTTACAGTTAATTTAGTTTGTTTCATGTTTGGCAATTCTATTTCTAAAGCTTCTATAAAACAAAAGAGTGCAAGAAAATTTTCAAATTGTTATCGAAAGCCTACCTATGATGGCACCACAGTGCATATTTGCATATGGTTCCTCTCCTGTCAAGAGCTCCCACATTGCTATGCCAAACGAGAAAACATCAACCTAGGACAAAAAGAAATGGCCATGGGTTCACTTCTAGGTAAAATAGCTTAGCATTGTGACTTGAAAAGGTAAAAATCTCATATCTGAGGTATTACTTTTTCAGAAACGCGACTGCTGTTTCCATTTAATAGCTCGGGCGCCATCCATGGAAGTGTTCCTCGAACACCACCCGAAACAAGAGTGTTCCGTTTTATTCTTGACAGTCCAAAATCACCAACCTGAAAAAGAAACCCTTCATTGATTATGTTTGGTTGAAAAACATCAATTTCACAGGATGGGTTTACAACCTTCTGGGAAATAAATTCTTCACGGTGAGAAGATTAGTCTAGGGAAACTATCCGTTCAAGAAAAAGACAAGGAAAAAAGTGGTCAATAAGGAATAAGGATTAGATACTAACATATATAAACACACACATATACATGTGACTTAGAATTAATTTTATATGCAAATTTACCTTGCATACCGGTCGTTGAGGATCTCCCAAATTGACAAGTAAGTTCTCACATTTCAAATCAAAATGAACAATACTTTTCGTATGCAAGTACTCCATGCCACAAGCAGCATCTAATGCAATCATAAGCTTTTTGCGCTTGTCAAGAATTCTGCAAAAAAGAGACATTCTATATGTAAAACATTTCAAAAGTGCAGGAACATGAAAATTACAAGCAGGTACAAGAGCAAATTCCACTTTTACTTCTCGACTATTGTGGCATTGCCACATTAAGTCCTACTCTTTTAATTTTGTCTCATTACATCTTTGGCTTTCATTTGCTTGCCACAATTAGTCCTCCATTAAAATTTTTTTGGCATTTCACCTTTAACAAAGAAGGCTAACATGTAATTTTATCATTCAAGCCTCTTGTCCCAACATGTAATTTCTATCCCTCTCTCGTAAACTCGTTTTTTTTTTTTTTTGGTCAAGGGGAAGGGGTTGGAACCCCACAGGCTAACGCCTGCTCATGCTACAAATAGTAAACTCTTTTAATCAAATAATAAAGTTACATGTTAACCCTCTTTATTAAACAATGGAATGACAGAAATTTAAATAGAGGGCTAAGGCTAATTATGGCAAGCAAATGAAAGTCAATGATATAATGAGACAAAGCCCTGTTTGGTAACATAGTTAGCTTATCAGCCAATTTTGGCTTATTTGACCACTATTAGCTGTTTGACTTGGTTAAACAATCAATATGAGTGTTTGATTAATTAGCTTTTTGTAACAGCTTATTGATCCAAAATGCTAATTTACCAATAGCTTTCTGAGAAAGTCATTTTACATGTAATCAGCTATCAGCTGACAGCTAATTTACCAAACACTTTTCTGCAATCAGCTAATGTTATCAACCAGTCAAACTCACTAACCCAATCAGCTAACAGCTATTTACCAAACACCCCCAAAATGAAAAGAGTACGACTAAATGTGGCAATGCTACAATAGTTGAAGAGTAAAATTGGAATTTGCTCTAATAGTAATAGTGGTAGTAGTAACAGTAATAATTATAGTAGTAGTAGTAGTTGTAGTAATAATAATAATTACTATTACTATCAATTAACAATAGTAATAGCAATAACAATAACACCTCACCTATCCTTCCTCACAAGAACATGTCTCAGTGACCCATTAGCCATGTATTCAGTAACTGTAGCCATTGTTCCTCCAGGTCCATCAGGAACCACCCCATAGAATGCTACTACATTTGGATGGTGAAGTTTGGAAAGAATCTGAGCCTCTCTCCAGAAATCTTTAGTCTGCAAAATAGTGCATTTAAATATTTATTGAGGCAATACCAGAATACAATTTCTTTCTTCCTATCCCTAACCAGTTAGGGATATTTCTGCCAATTTATCTCGTTCCATTTCTGGCAACTTTCTTCAAAAGAAACTATTAAAATTGATATCTGAATTCAAACTCCAATTTTGTGTCTGAGTTTGGGACCTACCAACTGCTCTTGATCAGATGATCTGCCAGCAAAACAGCTCTTTTTTATCATCTTGATAGCAACATCTGTTCCCCTCCACTTTCCATGATATACAGTTCCAAATGTACCGGAACCCAACTCACGCAGTTCTCCAAGATCACTATTTCTTATAATCTGTCCATAGTAACTCAAAACATTCAGTTTACAGTTACAATGACCAAACTTAAAGGATATGGAAACAGTAATCTATGCAAATACTACAGTTACAATGACCAAAACCCTATCAACTATTCAACTATAGTTATAGTTCAACACTTCAACTAATATCAGCTAGATTAAAAGCTTATTTTAACCTTTTTCATGTTAGTACCATTAAAACCAGGATTTCCATTCAAAGGTCAACCCAATATATTGTTAATTTGTTTTCTGCTCTTTTAGCCTTGTATATCTGGTTGGAATTTAATTATACTTTCTAGTCAATCTGCATAAGTAATCCTACTTGATTTTTTGACCTGTTAAATAATTTTTTTTTTTTGTTAGACCATGAGGTGTCCTGAGAAGGCCCTAACTGTAGGAGGCACCTTTAAGCCCGTGCCATACTCAAACTAATCCCCATTCGCACTGGGCCGGCCCAATTAAGAGGCAAAGTGCTGGCCAGATTGGTTTTTCCATACGAGAGGGGGTTCGAACTCCCGACCTCTCTTAAGGGATGAAAGTGTGACCTGTTTAATAATTGACCAAGCCAAATTGCAAAATAAGTACTATGTAATGTATATCTATTTGCCAGTCATCAGTTTGATGCAAAGTCCTAGCACGGTGTCCATATAATTTAATACAACATTTCACAAGTTTATTACTTCAAATGTATTTAACTTAGAAGTATATTAGAATCAACATCAAGGTAGAAAAAAGGGAAAAACTAAAGTGTATTGCATAATTAACTTCAGATCTGTCATTGTATATAGGGGCGAATTTGTTCAAATAACTACAAGATAGAAAGTTAAACTTCAGAGTTGCTACTTAAATGTCAATATAGCTGCTTCTAGAGCCAACCACGTGTCCAAGTTCTCAGGGAAAACAGGTTAAAGTGAGAAAGAGACATTAAAACTAATTCACAATGGTTGAACTTTATTTTCCAGGCCTCCCTGCATTGAGTTTCTGTACATAGTGCTGGCATAATTGCACTAAAATATTAGGACGTAAAATAACGGAACTGAAGAATGTCTTACAGCAAGCTTCATGTGTGCAACAGCATGTTCTTCTGGTCTACCTACTTTGGTCATGGTAAAATGAATCATAAACACATAATACTCCGTATATAATATTTAGTAATACCTATGAAGATAAGATGGCACCATCCAGGAACCATACTAGCTATGAAAATTAGGGGAAAAAAAGGTGCAAACTCCACATAGAAATATAAAGTATTAAAGTGAAAACTGTGACTTCTGACCTGAAAACCATATATCCCTGCCTCCATTTCAATATTTGTACTGATAGATAAGCCCTCACCATCACCATCAACTTTGTCATCCTAACAAATACACGGAATTGTCAATTTTACATACAATTTATTGGGGTCGTGATTTCAAAACTTTTCTCTTCAATATAATGACTCAACATGGCTACATTACCTTATCAGCAGGTTTGGTGGGAACACTCTCAGATTCTCTGTTTTCTCCAAGGGGTGGAAGCCCGTCACTGGGTTCGTCTTGTACACGTGGTACAACAGCTGGAGATAAGGGAGCATCAGGAGGTGTGTTATTGGCATTATCTTCCCCAAGAATCCTCTGTTCCGGGACTCTACAGTGATGAGAAATATCTGAGAGTTGAAATTCAAAAAATTCTTCATCCCCAGAATCATGTTTTTGGTTAGAAACTCTATCACAGTTTTCCTCTTTCAGTTTACCATTGGATATATTCCCATGGATACCAACATTTTGTGCAAAAGCAGCACCTGAAGCTGAATTTGGAAATGATATGTCACTAATACGGGGATCGTTCGAGTCTAAAAAGAAGCCAGATCTATCTGCGGAGTTCTTGTGATAAGCAGGTTGCAGTTCATGTGATAAGCAGAAACCATCCTCAGTGTTTTTTGTCGTTCCAGATGCAGCATGCTTCTCCCTACAGTTGTTTGTGGAGTAATCAGGTATAATAGGCGGTGGAGCAAAAGTTCTGTTTTCACTGACTTGTGGCTTTGAAGTTGTTTCCCGACAAGTATTAGGATCATTGCAGTTCTCTCTGCAACCGGTTGTTGAATTACTGGGAGAAACACGTGGTTTAGAAGAGTTCCTGCCTCCATAAGCTTTTGGCGTGCAGATATCCTTAATTCCAAAATAAGATCCTTCCTTAGGTGAATAAGCATTCTTCTGCTTTATCCAATTTATTGAATTTGGACCCCATTCTGCATATTCTTTGTTAATCTCTGGTTCTTTAAGATTTTTCTGATGCTCATTCTTACTCATAAACTGTTTCTGCTCTCTCAGCTCTTGCCAGTGCATTGACCTTTCCGGTGAAGAACTAAATATTTCAAGTGAGGGAGAGTTCTCTCCACTAAAGTTTGAAGAGACATTATATCTCTCTTCACATAGCAGTTGTGGATCGGATATTGCATGATGCATTCCATAACCGGGTTTAGCTTGAAAATCTACTCTAGGGAGCAAGTTAATGTCCCGAGAAGGTATTAGCCTTTCGGAATGCAGTGGTATATCTTTTGACACAGACATTTGGGAGTCCAAATCGTTCTGATGAGAAGGTTGAAAAGTCATACAACGTTTAAATTTACGATTTTGAGAAAAGGGCTCAGGAGCCTTGTTTGGTTCCAACAAATGAGTGTTTTCTTTTTGGTAATAACTCAATGGACTATTATAGCAATATGCTGGTTTTGGGCTATAGAATTCATGGCCATCAGGAGACGCAAAATTATTATATCCCACATCTAGAAACTGACCTGGTGGTGGAGACAAAGGAGGAGATTGCATGTACGATTTGGGAGGGGTCTGAGATGCGTTAAACCAATGAGCAGTGGGCTTTTGAGGGACTAATATGTTCATTGCATTGGTTCTTTTCCGCATCTCAAATGGATGGAACGAACCGGGATTATCCCTTTGGTTTGCCAAGTTCTCTCGGCTCGAGTTCCTTTGCAGACCTGGCTCCCGCATACCATTAACTGCGACAACATACTGATAGTCAGCATCGGTCTGCTGTAAGCTCATTGGTTCATACGAACAAAGACTCTCGGCATCGGAGGAAGGCACGAGAAATAGCCGTAGCCGTAGTGAACTTTTTTCCAAATCATGATATTCCTCGATCATGTTATGGAGATCCTCATCAGAAGTCACGGATATAAGTGCATCAAGATCTTCGCCAGGCAGCTGGTATTTTATCGTGTGAGGATGATTACAAATGGCTGTAGTCTTCTTCATTAGTTCATTATAAGTTACGTCTTTCCTAATTGATATCATTTTAGTCTCCCCGCCCACATACCTAAGCCTACGATCATTTGGCCTGGGCAGAATTCTTCCTCCAAAGCTGCAGATAAATTTCATTCTTCCGGGGAAAGAATTGTACGAAACTTCTGGACTATGGTTGTAGGGGTAAAACGAATGTAGGGATTTTGATGCATGAAGAGGCGACCCCGATGTAGATCTATCACCATTGCTTTCGTCTGCGAACCTTGCTCGATGTTGTCCTTTCCCGGGAATTTCCATTGCATAGCTACTCGTGCTATCCAAATAAGCTCTGTAATTGCCTCTTAACGCATATCCATTGTTAGGAGAAAACTCTGAGAACTCCATACCACTCTCGGAACCTCTTTGAATTCCAAGTAGACCATTGAGCTCCTCATATACAAGATCGTTTTGAGAAATGGTAAAACCATCCCCCCTCACTTGGTTCTTTTCTGCACCTCTCATGGTGGCTACATTTCTGGGTGTAAACTCTGCAGAAAATACTTCACCCGTCTCTACAGAAACATTATGTACATATTTATCCCTATAATTTATGTCATCTTGGGCACCATCATGAATGAATTCAGATAAAGAACCAGATGACTCACTGGTCATTTTTTTCTCAAATGAAGCCCAAGGAAGATAAATGAACGATCACGACTTCTGCACCCAATTGTCAGTACTGTATAGAGCTCACTACTGATGATACGAGAACTTCTCGAGCTCACAAAACAAAATTTCCCCACATAAAACCTCAATTGGACCTTTGCAACACATATTTTGTAGGCAATATATATGTATATATCTATCATTCAAGAACCTCCCTTTCTGCTTTGCATTCATCCACAAAAAAAATGTATGCCCCTATGTACTACTTTCTGGAAAAAACATAAGAAAAGGACAACCCCAATGGAAAAAACTCCTGTGCATTCCCATTTTGAGAAAGGTCAATGACAGGGCTTCCCAGCAATACAAATGAATAAATATTCATTACCTCCTATCAATGAATTTGATTGATCACATAACGAGGCACCATTTACCCATCGAAAGAGATTCCTCCATTTGACCCTCAATACTGTAAAATCTTACTGTTCCAACAAAATTAGAGCAACAGTTAACTAACAAAATGTCAAAATCACAAGGGAAAATAACAGAAAACCCATATTCTATTCAAGAAAACAGGAAAAAAAAAAACACCCATCATCAGAATCTAGAAAAATATCCCCCAAAAACAAAAGGGGGGGAATGAAAAAGAAAATCATTCACATTACTGGTGCCAAGATGATGGGGAATAGAATAGAATAGTACCTGTTGGGGTTGTTGAGGTCCTTGGAGGTCAGCACTTCTTGGAATCAGGGTTTCGAAAGAAGGAAAAAAAAATGGAGGTTGAATTTGGGTTTGATTTTGTTGTTGAGAGGTAGAAGTTGTTGATGGAGAGAAATGGAAAAAGGGAGAGGCCATTGCACAATTGCATTTGCATGGGTCTCGGAGTTACCACCCTTACGTGTTGCTTCGCATATACTGTCTACTTCTAAACATATACACAAAATTAATTATATCATTTACAATAATGTTATCATTTGTTTCTATTTAGAGCATATCTTAATAGTAACTATATATTTCTTTTACGAGGAAATTTCAATTTTGGTCATATGACTATAGAGGTCTTGTTAATTTCAGTTTCTGACTTTCAAAATTGTTAATTTAGTACCTTAATTATGTAATTTTTGTCAATTTTGGTCACTCCGGTTAAATTGTCGGCCAAATTTCGCCGGAAAATTTTAATTGTTAAAATAATGAGGGTATTTTGATCATTTCATATCTCTTTTCTTCTTCTCAGGCGAGTCCATCCCTTCCTCTCTCGTTTCCGATGAATACAATGAACTAAGATGATGGGGAAATGAGGGTTGATGATATTAAAGATAGGGTTTAGAGGGAGAAAGAACACTGGAAACGGGAGAGAAAGAGATGAACTCGTCGGAGAAGAAGAAAAGAGGCGTGAAACGACCAAAATACTCTCATTATTTTAACTATTAAAATTTTCCGGTGAAATTTGACCGACAATTTGGCCGGAGTGACTAAAATTGACAAAAAATACATAGTTAAGGTACTAAATTGACACTTTTGAAAGTCAGGGACTGAAATTAACAAAACCCCTATAGTCATATGACCAAAATTGAAATTTCCTCTTTCTTTTTCACATCATCTTTTATCATTTTGTCATCTATTTTATATAGAGCAAATACCAATTTTGGTCCCACAAATATTAACAAAATGACGATTTTGATCCACATGTTTAGTTCTTACTAATTTTCATCCACGACTATTGTTTTAGTACCAATTTTCATCCACGACTATTATTTTAGTACCAAAATTCATTACGCCGGTCACCCCTACATTTAAGATATGCCAAAATTTAAAAATTTTAAGGGCATTTTCGTCTTTTTAAACTTAAGATTTCAATTTGAGCATGAATAAAGGATTTTAAACCCTAAGATCGATCTTAATTTGCAGTTCTCCTCTTTATCCTACCTTAATTTGAGGATGGGAACTACGAATTGAGATAGATCTTAGAGCTTAAATCTCTTTTTTCCTCCTCAATTTGAGATCTTAATTTGTAAAGGACAAAAATACCCTTAATAATTTCATATTTTGACATGTCTTATACGAAAGGGTGACCGGCGTGATGAATTTTGACACTAAAACAATAGTCGTAGATGAAAATTGTTACTAAATCAATAGTCTTGAATGAAAATTGGTAGAGATTAAACATGTGGACCAAAACTATCATTTTGCTAATACTCGTGGGACCAATATTGATATTTTCTCATTTTATATATAAACAAACAAATTAAAAGTCAATTAGTACACTAAGTTTTTAAATGTACCATTAAATGTAATGAAGCCTAAAAATTGATCCGACAAAATACGTAATCGGCGATTGACGAACGGTCGCTAGTCACGAAAAAGGAGACCAAAGTCACCTTCTCTGTAGAGACGGAAAAGGAGACCAAAGTCACCGTTCTCTGTAAAGAAGAATCACTTTCTTGCCAGAGAAGGTAACCACAATGGTTGTCTTCTCACTGGAGCGACCCAAATGGTCACCTTCTCAACTGGAGAAAGCGACCAGTGGATCGCTTTCGCGCCAGAGCGACCCAAATGGTTGCTTTCTCAACCGGAGATAGCGACTACTGTGATCTTCTGTAGGGATCCTGAAGTAATATACTATCTCAAATACTTTTTTTAAAGACACACTTAGTTATAGTTAAAAGAGAGCTTATTAGTTATTACTGGAAGTAGATAAAATCTTACCTAGTGGCTTGTACTACTAGGCAATATGGTATCAAGAAACACTTGGATTAAACTTCATAATCTCAGGACTATATCCGTTGCAGAAATAAGATTTGTGATACATAATAGTAAGAGTTACATACAAAAGTGTAACATTGATATATCTGGTTTCTCTTTTCTTTCAATTTTTGTTTTTTTCCACTTTCCCTAGAGAATAAAGAACAAGAAACTAACAATTACAAAACCATGTTTTTGTTGTATATATTCTTCTACACCTTCCGAGCCAAGGTCCTTTGTTTGGTTGCATGTTGGACTACCTTTTCCTCCACAGGAAGACCCTTCCTCCGTCTCACATCATCGATAAGTTTTCTTGCGGTGTTGCGTGGGACAGCGGCACCCTCTCCAAACTCTTCTAGCTCTTCTTCGGTCTTGGGTACGAAGAAAGGATCTTCGGGATGCGCTTCCCAATGGCTGAGAACGAGTAAAGCGCTTGCACCGCCAGAGGTCCATCTCCTCAACTCATCGGCAAAACCATAGCTCTCTGCTACTGGCACGTATGCGTGCACCGTGAACAATGCAGAACCTTCTTGCATTTCTTCCTTCATAATTCGGGCTCGCCTTCTGGCAAGCACGGCATACATGGGGCCCAGATACTCCGTTGAGGTGTTCAACTCGCAAAAATACATGGCTTCCACAATTCGAGGTTTCTTCTGAAGCACAGCTGCTCTGCAGGCATCCTTGACAGCCGTCATAACTTGTCCAGAGAAAATGCCATACTGCTCCGCTTGGTAAACTGATGAGTCAGCGTCACTAGGCTGCCCGTTCGAGGGATGAATTGATGCCTCGATAACAAACGCCAAACCCCACATAGGTTCATCACACAAAGGGCCAGATGCAGTGGCTAACTGAAACCCGGACAATACACTGCTCTCAAGATTATCTGCTTCTCTTAGCAAAGCTTGATCTGCATCTGATGATTCAGGTGATGCATTTCTATTGGTTGACATATCGAGAAAACCCAACTTTTCGGATACATAAGGGAAGCCTCTGATAAGAACTGAAGAATCATTATCATTCTCCCTTTTTTCAGGTGTGAGGAGAATGTTAGGACCAACTTGCCAAGGTCCTAAAGCCCAAATTCTCTTCGTGAACTTCTGCCACATTTGTTGAAATTTTTCTATCCTATCAGTATCTGCCCCTGCAAACCCAGATAAATAATCACTCTCCACAGCATCTTTCATGCGTTCCTTCAGTGCTTCAATTGGATTCTCATCTTCCACAATGCTACCTCTAATGGTTTCCAGGCTTTTACAAGCCTGCAACGATTTACCGCCAATTATACCTCCAAGCAAACTAGAACTTTCATCAAGCAACTTAGTTAATGCAGTTGGAAGCTTTATGACTTGCACTCGAACAACACATCTTCCATTTGGTGTTGTTTTTTCAACAAAGTCGGAGGAGCTTTGACTCAATAGCTTGAAATTTTCAAAAAGATTTGACGTGTCACCTTCAATCGTCTCCCTATATGAGACAAGAGGGGGAGAGACTTCCAAACTCACCTTTGCAAATCTCTCCTTCAAATCTTTAATGCATCTCTGAAGATGGACCTCCCCTGCTGCAGAAAGCACATGTTCTCCCCTGGCAGAAACGGTAACCTCAACAAATGGATCTGCACGGTTTAGAAGCTTCAATCCCTTCATAAGTGCGCCCATTTCAGCGGGATCAGAAGGTTCAATTGCAACCTTAAGAGTGGGTGAAACCTGGAAAACCATACTTGAGAATGGCCAGCATTTTAATGTTGAGGAAAGAGTTGCACTTTTCAATATATATTGGCCAAGGCCTCTAATAGCAACAACATTCCCTGCCTTGGCTGAAGCCACAGGTTTCAATCCTTGACCCATCATTAAATATAAACCATGCAACTCAGCCTCCTGCACGTGTTTCTGCATTGATTCAAGCTTTAATGGATCATAAAGAGCAGAAAGAACAAAAATCTTCTGCCCAGAATGAATAACCCCACTAAAGATCCTAGCAAATGCTAGGAAACATTCTTCTGAATCACCATTTCCATTATCATCGACAATCTCTCCGCGAGGAAGCATTTTTGATGAAACAGCAAACATTTTGGACACAAATGCAATGCAAGGTGCATCAGGGCTGGAATCACAGGCCTCCACCGATTTCCTTACAACTTCCGCGTCACCAAGAACATCAGAGTTACCTCCACTGTCTTCTCTCTTCGGAAGCAAGCGTGATATTCGAAAAGACTGAGCAGAGATGGGATCAGGCATGTATTTAACAACCATTGACAAAACTGTATCAGATAAGGGCAGCCAGCGGCTCATGACTGACTGAAGCACTGCTTTTGGATCCTTATGTTGAAGTTCACGAGGAGGTATGGACAAATTGAATGACTTGATAACTTTCTCAAGCATCCCCTTATCGCCATCTGCTTCCAATGCAGCTTGATAAACCTGCCATAGTGGCTCAAGCACAAATTGCACAAACATTGGCCGAGCCTTGGTTCCACTAACTCCCTTCTTACCTACAATCATCTTGGTCTTGGAGTTGAAATATCTAGGACCCCAAAATGCCTTCTGCAATGCAGATGAACTTGCACCAAGTTTTGAAGCATAAAATTCAGCAAAATCACTAATACTAAAGCCCCACCCATCAAGTGCACATACAAACACTACATTACCCTTCTGGGGCTGAAAAGTATCCTCTTCATCATCCTCTATAAATTCAAAATTTTCATCATTCACATCTCCCGTTTGGGCTGATAGGAGTGAATCAACATCTGACAAATACTTTTCAGACTTGTATGCACTGACAATCCCATTCACCTCATGTACAATCCTTTGCAACCGGATATATGCCTCCATAGGGCTCAATCTCAATTCAGAAATCAACCTATCAATCTTATTCAAGACCAAACAAGGAGTAAGTTTCTCAATCCATGCTTGGCGCAAAACAGCATGGGTCTGAATATGAACACCCTCCACAGCATCCACCAATACTAAAGCTCCATCACTCAGCCGTGCAGCAGTAGAGACCTCACTGCAGAAGTCCATGTGTCCTGGAGAGTCTATAAGGTTGATATAGTTATCCTGATATTGAAGAGCAATAGAAGAACTCTTCATCGTTATAGCCCGCCTCTGCTCCTCATCCAAAAAATCCATAAACCTAAGCCTGCCTGCTTGCTTCGGATGAAGTACTCCACCTCCATAGGAAGCAATCAAGTGATCTGCCAATGTGGTCTTGCCATGATCGACATGTGCAAGAATGCATATGTTTCGGAGCCTTCGAGAATCAAAGTCACCCATCTCAGGGGTGGATCCAAAAAAATTTCTGAGTGGGGGCAAAGTTCAAATGAATTCAAAAATGTCCCTGACAAAATATGATTCAAATAAAAATTACATTATAAATTACAATACAATGTTTATCATTAATCAATCCTGCTATATTACAATTTACTAATTAAAACTTCAAGCAGCAGACTAATAGCATATTGAAATTTGAATTTTTGGAATCAATAGCATACAACATACTGGAATAGTGGACAAGTCATTAAACCAATAAACCATAAGGATTATGGAGTACTTAATTTACAGATAATATACACAGAATATACACAAAATACAGACAGTATAAACAGAATAATTTTTTTGGGGCTATATGTATATATACAGCATACTGATACTGGAATAGTAGACTAATAATTAAACCAAAAAATCATATGGATTATGGAGTACTTAATTTACATACGATATAGGCAGAATATACACAGAATACAGACAACATACACAAAATAATTTTTTTGGGGAATGTATGTATATATACAGCATACTGATACAGTGATAATAGTGGACTAATCATTAAACCAATAAATCATATGGATTATGGAATACTTAAATTTACAGACTACATTTAAAAAAAAAAAAAAAAAAAAATTAAAAGTTGAAGATTGAAGATTGAAGATTTGGGGAATTAGGGATTTTATCATTTATGGAATTAGGGCTAACTAATTAAGAAAATAAGGTTGAAGATTGGTTCTAACCTGAGCACTTGCAAGTTGTTGCAGACTTGCCGGTTGCTGGAGACGGTGTGCCGGAGAGATGGACGATAGTGGAGCAATGGACTGAGATGAAGAGAGAATATGGAGCTGCTGGCTGTTGGGAGTGGCTGCGACCTGCGTGGGTAGTGGGCTGTTGGGAGTGAGGCACGAAAAAGCCTTGCAAGTTGCCCGGAGGCCTGGAACTCAATCGCTGAAACGGCAGAACAGAAAAGAAATTTTTAAAAAATTATATAATTATATCGAAGGTCGCGAATCCAATAAATATAAGCAACAGGCCCCTGCTGCGTTAAAGAGGGAGGGAGGGAGGCTCAATTTTCCGGTGAGTATGGCGGTGGTGAAAAAAAGGGAGGGTCCAAAATTGATTTAGGGTTTCCCTTGCCCTATTTCATGCGTTTTCTTAATTGGGTTGTTTAAACTTGCATGGTTGAGTTTCCACTTAGGTGGATTAAATTTATTTTATTTATTTGTTTTTGTTGTAACTTGGGAAGCTGTCATTACTATTTTAGTCTAAATAAATATTACTTTTAGTTTAAATTTTTTTAATTCTTCTTAATTTTCTTTTAGGTAGCATTGTTATTGTCGGTATATGTCCTTTTTTTTTATATATATTATTATTAGTAATGTGTCGTGTGTAATTAAGTTACTGGTGGTAGCATAGATGGATTCATCATGTAATGAGATTAAGGTGTAGAAAGAGTTAGATTTGTCTTGCTGTGTATATGACTTGGATTTTAGTTATACTATGAATTCTTTATCTTACAAGTACTTGTTGATATTTGCTAGTGATAGTTTCGCCCTACATATTTCATATGTTGTAAGGTGTGTGTCGTAAGTTAAAGTATTAAACAAAATATTAATATTTAGAGAAAAATGGTCAAATAGGCCCATAAACATTTTGCTAAATGTCAATTAACCCCACAAACTTTTTAAAAGGTCAATTGAACACATGAACACACAATTTTGAGTCACTTGACCCCATTAACCACTAACTTTTCCCTGAAGAACCGGTAATTGACCATGTGGCGCCACGCTTTGTTTTATATTTTGAATTGCCACATAAGAATTATAAAATAAAATAAAAATTAAAAGATGATTTAAATGATACCTACAGCCCTAATTCTGATGTCGACAGACTCAACTTCTTCTTCAAAATCTTCTCTTCATCTTTCTTCGAAAATCTTATGCTTCTTCTTTCTTCGAAATCTTCTACGCCATCTTCTGCTTAGGCTTCTATTTCGCGTCTCACCTTTGGAGATGACATCATCATGTTTGAGTAGTTCACCATTTTTGTCTCCCTCAAAGGCGAGACCAAAATTTGGAATCTGCCATCAAACAGAGGATCAATTGTATCATTTCGGAAGAAAGGCCTATGACCTTTGAGTGCACAGCAGGTGCTCGACAGAATCCCGAGCAGAGTAATGAAGATGATGGACTTGCACCGGTTCATACCTCCATGTTTGGACCTGATTTGGAAGAGGGGATGGCCCTCTTTGTTGATGAAGTAATTGGGGAGGCATCAGAAGTATATGTACCAGGAAGTGAAAAGATTGTATCTTTCTTGATGATCAATTATTTCAAGCACCAATGAAGCAAGAAAACCAAGTTGCTGTAGTTGCAAGACAAACGGACATTCGTATCTGAACTTTTCCGCCGAGAATTAGTGAAATCTTAGACAAGTTGTATATTATATTGAAGGTCGCAAATCCAATAAACATAAGCAACATGCCCCTGCCGCGTTAAAGAGGGAGGGAGGGAGGCTCAGTTTTCCGGTGAGTATGGCGGTGGTGATAAAAGGGAGGGTCCAAAATTGATTTAGGGTTTCAATCAGACTGCCCTAATTCATGCGTTTTCTTAATTGGGTTGTTTAAACTTTCATGGTTGAGCTTCCTCTTATGCGGATTAAATTTATTTTATTTTATTTGTTTTTGTTGTAACTTGGGAAACTGCCATTACTATTTAAGTCTAAATAAATACTACTTTTAGTTTAAATTTCTCTAATTCTTTTTAATTCTCTTTTGGGTAACATTGTTTTTGTCTTCATCTTCAGTACATGTCCCCCCCCCCCCCCCCCCCCCCCCCAATTTTTTTTCTTTATTAGTAATGTGTCATGTGTGATTAGGTTACTGGTGGTAGCATAGGTGGATTCATAATGCAATGAGATTAAGGTGTAGGAAGATTTAGATTTGTCTTGCTGTGTATATGACTTTGGATCTTAGTTGTACTATGAACCCTTTATCTTACAAGTACTTGTTGATATTTGCTAGTGATAGTTTTCCCCCTATATGTTTCATATGTTGTGAGGTCTGTGTCGTAAGTTATCATGTGAAAGTATTAAACAAAATATTAATATTTAGAGAAAAATGGTCAAATAGGCCCCTAAACATTTTGATAAAGGTCAATTAACCCCACATACTTTTAAAAAGGTTAATTGAACACATGAACACACAATTTTGAGTCACTTGACCCCATTAATCGGTAACTTTTCCCTGAAGAACCGGTAATTGACCATGTGGCGCCACACTTTGTTTTATATTTTGAATTGCCACATAAGAATTATTAAAAAAAAAAAAATTAAAAGATGATTTAAATGATACCTACAACCCTAATTCTCACATTGACAAACTCAACTTCTTCGAAATCTTCTCTTCATCTTTCTTCGAAAATCTTATGCTTCTTCTTTCTTCTACGCCATCTGCTTCTTCTTCTTTCTTCTACGCCATCTTCTGCTTAGGCTTCTACTTTGCATTTCACCTTTGGAGATGACATCATCATGTTGGAGTGGTTCACCATTTTCGTCTCCCTCAAATGCGAGATCAAAATTTGGAATCTGCCATCAAGCAGAGGATCAATTGTATCAATTTTGGAAGAAAGGCCTGTGACCTCTAAGTGCACAGCAGGTGCTCGACAGAATGTCGAGCAGAGTAATGAAGATGATGGACTTGCACCGATCATCGAAAAAATACGCGATTTGAAAAAAAAAATTGTCCAAAACGGACAACCGAGTCAAAAGTTATGCATTCGCAAAGTTTTTAACCTAAACCCCAAAAAAAAAAAAAAAAAAAAATCGCCGGTTCGCCTATGCGGCCGCGAATGAGGCTGATTCCTGTCTTCCTCGCCGCGGCCGGGCGGCGCCTAGCGCCTATGCGCGATTTTTGCAGCACTGGCAGAGGTAGAGGTAGTCTTATCGGTAGTTGATGTATTTTTCTTTGGACGAGATGGACCTTCACTTGCCTCACGTGTTCTTTTTCTCTTTGGCCTTCCCGTCATTTTTTTAAGGAATTGGAGCAAGTATCTCCTCATTTTGTGTCCTTGGCCAGAATAGCTCTCCATTCATTGGTTGAAGTGCATGGACGTAGGTCCTTAGATATGCCTCTTTTGAATAGCACGGGTCAATGTACTCATGACGTTCCCTTCCAACGTCGAAGATGGCGCATATTGCATGTGGGCATTGTACACCATAAAGATCCCATGCCCTGCATGAACAACTTCTACATGCAAGTTTGACCTTGAATTGTTGTCTCCCTTTCTTAATTTCATAACCATCATCTCTATTGAAATCAATCTGATGCATATATTCAACAAAAATTAAATTCAGCAAAATGTCCAGCACATATTCATCTACTAAACTGAAAGTTAACTTACCTTCCACCCCATACTTTCATGTATATTTGTATCCAACTTCTTCATGATCAATGGTCCATAATTTCCAGTCCAGCTTTCCACCGATTTAATTTTTTTTGCAATCTTCCGCATCACCCCTACTCTTATGTCTTTCAACATAGGGATAACGGGCTTGACTCTTGCTTTGACCAAGGTTCTATTAAAAGCCTCACTGAGATTATTATCCACAGCATCCCACTTGACAGTTGTTCTAAAGAAAGCTTTGCACCAAAATCTTGGAGGGTACCTTCAAACAACATATTATAATTCAGATTGTGCATATTTAAAACACATCAGATTCTGGGCATATAAAACAGATGCTATAAATCAGTTTTTGTACATCTAAAGCACACTTAAAAGTCAGATTTTGCACATCTAAAACACAAGTTCTAAATTAGATTACCTTTCTAAGTCAACTTTTGTTGTAGGGTCCATCTTTCCTAAACATTTCATTTGTTCTTGAAATTCAGGTTCATTGGTAGTCTTTGCACACATCCAGAAGTGTTTTTTCAACACTTTGCCTCTATGCAACTTACTCCAATTGGCGTGCACGTGTCTTGCACAGTTACGGTGCTCAGCGTCAGGAAACAACTCTTTAATCACACGTGTTAATCCCTACAAAATATAACAAACAAAATAAGTATAATCTAAAGCTTAAATAAAGTGTTACAAGTGGTTTTGTTTAATTTATTCTTGCCCAAGAAACAAACCCCAAGAATCACTGTTTTCTATCTCTACGATCCCCCAGGCTATAGGATACATTTGGTTGTTAGCATCTCTACCAACTGCACTCAATATTTCACCTTTCAACATCCCCTTGAAAAAACATCCATCCAACCCAATTACTTTGCTACATCCTTCTAAAAACCCTTTCTTTACAGCTGCAAAACAAACATAGAATCTCTGAAAAACACAAGGACATTCAGGTGTTGTTTTATTGGTTTTTACAAAAGCATTGGTACCGGGATTAGAATTGATATATTTAGCAGCATAATCCCTTATTTTATGAAATTGGTCTTGAAAACCAACATCAACCTCTTCAATACAGCTTTGATTGCCCTCTTTACCATGCAGATTCCCACATTCAGTTTCAATTCAGATTGTATGTGTTTTTTCAATTCTGTTTGTCCAATTGAAGGGTTGTCTCTTATTTTGTCCTCATACCGCTCCTCTATCCACGATTGGCTTACTAATCTTAAGTTGTACTTTAGATTGCACCTATGCTCCGTAGTCACTGTTTTAAGTTGAAAGCACTTGAAAGTGTCATCCCATGATCCATGAGCTTGAAATGGACAAGGCTAGTCACATGCAAGGGACACACTCTATGGCTTATTCCTCACAAAGTGGATATTTCTCTTTGAGTAAACAACATAATTGATCATTGCCTTTCTAAACTGTTTTGCATCATCATATAGGGTACCAACTTCAAGCTCAACAAACTCAACATTTGGATTGTAGGAAGGGTATTTAAATAGACTTGTTGCTGCACTGGTGGTATGCTCAAATGATGCTTGTACCTATTCTTTTTTCAGATTGATAACTCACCGAGTCATCAGAGTCATAATACTGACTTTGCACATCCTTCTCACCCACATTTTCAGTGTCACCTTCTGCCCCACCCCTTCCAATGTCCTCATCATTATTTTCTGCATTTTGGCACTCAACATCAACGAAATCAGCTCCATCTTGAGGACTTCTTTCCAAATCAGAATCTCCATCTTCATTATTGCTTTCCAAATCAACTTCTTCAACATCTTCTTGAATATGTTTTGCATGCTCAGGTTCTAGTAATGGTAAATTTGGAACAACCTCTGCCTCATCTATCTCATGCTCAACATACAAGTCAATTGCACCCCAATGTTGAGCCAAGTAACTCATGTGCAATGTACTTTTATCATTATTCAACAATTGGAGGCTCTTTAAACTCTCATGTGATAGTCTAAATGATAGTGACAATATTTTACCATATCTCTCCTCCTTAATAAATTTCAATAAGTGAGGATATGATAACAAATCAGGGTCAATTGTCATTATTTCCACCTCACCACCTACATACTCCATCCTACGTTCTTGGACATAATTCCCACTATGGTGAATTCTGATTTCAACAGTGGAATACATTCTACAAAATATAGACATATTTAATAGTATTAAAAACATGGTGCCTGGATTTTACCCTACTCGAAATTTTATTACTCTGTATTTTTGTGATTTTTTGGTGATAGAAGTTTATTTTTGTACTTCTATTTCTGTATTTTTCACTTACTATTGATAATCAAACTCATTCTCCTTGCTGTAATATTTTGAAATACTTTCTTCATGCAGCTTTTGTTATAAAGAAATTGGAAAGCTAATATTACGTACAACTATGCATATTCTATTTCCCATAATACAAAAGTGGCCATGCTATATTGAGTAACAAATGAAAGCAAATAAGACAGCTGAGGATTTGGTAATTTAGACAGCCAAAGTTTCCTAATTTTCCACAGAATGAATAGAAAATTTGGGGGAAAAAGATATTTGGAACACTAGTAAAATAAGTCAGTAGCAGCATAATCCTTTAAATTGCGGAAGACTGTGGACTGTGTATGCAGTTGACACAGTTATTCTAAGAGACAAACAACAAGCATACTTTTTACATTTTTTAAACAGTTATTCTTCCCCATAAGCATACTTTTTACAGCCTTCAATTTACATATAAATCCAAACTATACTGGCAGTAAATCTAAGTGTAGGGACCATTCAATAACCTAATATATAAAATACCACAACTACACTTATTGCAATGCATTCATCAGGACCACAATACCCAAAGTGTCTCCATTATTGACAACATAATGAGACCCAATCCTTAAACAAATACAATCAAAGATAACCAAATAAGCTTTTTGAAAGCTACTGCTCATTCACCCTAAACATATAAAAAACTTTATTTTTCCATACCCATAAACAAATTTGCAGTAGCTAATGGTATGAAAAACGAAATTCCTACTGCCTAAAGAAAAAAAAAAAATCTAAACCCTAAAATCAGTGGTAGAAGAAAAAGGAAAACTACCTTCAATGGTGATGGTGGTGCGACGAGGTGGTGGAGCGCCGGACGGTGGTCGAGCTTATAGCGACGAAGTACTGCGATGGTGATGGTGGTGCGACGAGGGCGACGAGCTGCGATGACGAGAGACGACGACCGGAAAAGTTTTTGCTGGAGCGATTGCGACGCCTGGTGGTGGTGTACGATGACTGGTGCAATGACGAGCAGCTGGATTAAGGCGCCCGACGATCAACGAAGATTTTGCAATTTAGGCCATTGACGACTTCGCGATTTTGGGGCTGAAGAGCGGATGTGATAATGACTTCTGCCTTATATTTTTTATTTATTTAATTTAATTTTGTTAATTTATTCTTATGGGACAATTCAAAATATAAAACAAAGTTGACGTGGTGCCACACGGTCAATTACCGGTTCTTCAGGGAAAAGTTACTTGTTAATGGGGTCAAGTGACTCAAAATTGTGTGTTCATGTGTTTAATTGACCTTCTTAAAAGTTTTTAGGGTTAATTGACCTTTAGCGAAATGTTTAGGGACATATTTGACCATTTTCTCGAATATTTATTATGAGTTAATTCCACCATAGGTCCATTGTTTTTTATGGCAATTCCAAATTTAGTCCCAAACAATTATTTTTGCTATTTAACATCCTAGACTATTATATTTTGGACACTTATAATCAATTTTTTAATTTCTTTAAAAGTTTGCATGCATTGATAAAATTTTGATGTATAAACTTGTTTAATTGGAGCAAGTGGGATGTCAACATTGTCAATTCTTTAGAAAATGGTCATACCGTTTTAGAGTTCATGTGTAATTTTATTTAATTATTTATGATCAATAACTTTGTAGTTAGGTCGCGCATGTCTGACAATGATGTAAAAACATTTTTGTTCGATAAAAAAATAATAATACAATATTTGTAAAGTAATGTATAATTGTACCATTATAAAAATACATATAAAAAATATTAATACCATAATGATCTAAATAATTTCAATAATGCAAAAGCATAATTGAAATATTAAGTTTTGTTATAAATAATTAAAAGAAGATTAACTAAACGAAAAAAAAAAGCTTAACCTAAATTGTTTTTTTTTTTTTAATGTAAGAAAATCAAATGATTTTCAAAGTTCCCGATTTATAATCTTTGATGCTTAAATTTAAATGCAATGCATTTAGTCGGGCTAATTATTTGACTAAAGTTTATCTTAAATCTTATATTATATTTTTTTAAATACATTTTAACATATTCGTAGTATATGTTTAAGACTTATGCCAACTATAATTGGGATTGAGTTCGAACTTAAGACCTTTCTTATATAAATTATTAATAAATAAGTTAAGAATAATAAATGATTAACGGAATATTCCGTTACTAAAGTTTATACTAACGGAATTTATGGTTATTTAAGGGAAGAAAATAATATAATAGAGGGTAAATAAGGAAAATTATTTAAAATATTAAAATTAAAATAGTATGAACCATTTATTTTAAGAAATAGTTACACCAACATTTTGTTGTTCCAGTTAAGGGCCTAACATTATTGGCTCTTATTAAAATTGTATTGTAGATTGTAGATGTAGATGTAGATTAGGGGTGAAAGTAATAAAACCTCATAATTATTGGTCAAAGTGATAATATCTCCTAATTGTTGGGCATACTGGGAATACCCAAAAGAACTGGAATCGGACATTCGGAGATCTCTGTCTTGCCAACGTCTTCTTCTTCAATAGCTATACATCAAACCATTAAAACCCAATTACTGTGCTTTGGTGTCGCAACATTTTTATTGTTTTCCTCTCTAAATCTATCAAAGATTCAAAGGTATGTTTGTTTTTCTTACTATTTTGTTTATTTTTGTTTCATTTAGATTTTATACTACTTTTTGTTACGGTGTTTTTCTTTTTAATTTTTATCGGAAACGAAACACCAAAATCTTGAATTAGGCATCCCAGAAGTTTGATTTTGTTTTAAAAAAAATTTCATTTTTTGGTATTGGTGATTTCATGCTAGGGTTTGCTACAGAAATCAAACTCAGGGAATCTCGAATTGAGCATGCTATGGGTTTTTATTGGCGTCTGGTATTCTAAATTTAATGCTAGGGCTCCATAAAGAGTTCGATAAGATAAACAAATATCATGGAATCGAATTTCATAACATATGATTGCTATCATCATCATCATCATTATTTTTCTAGGTGCTGTACCTCAAACCTTTAGTTGGGGATTCCCATTTTTTAGCTTGTTTTGTAACTTATTTATCCTTTGAATGAACGGGCACATGAATGGCTTGTCCTTTGTTTCAGGAATTGTAGTTTGATTGTTTTTTGTAACTTTTCATGGCTTCCCCATCATGATGGTTGCAAAATGTTTGGTAACACCTGTATAAATTTTGTATTTCTAATCATATGCACATACATGTGATGCAATTCATAAGTTGGATAAACTAAGTTTACTATGTGAAACGCAAGTGGTGTTCTCATTTTATTCATGCAAGGAGATTGGGGACTTGCTCTTATTCTGTCATCTTTTTATCATGCTCGTGCTTGTCCTTTTCTTCTTAGATCTCTTTCAAGAAAACAGTGCTGGGAGGAATTCAAAGTTGAGCTCATGAGGATCTTAATAGCAGTAGCAAAATAATCATGAAACTGGGGGATTGTTAACTGATACTTAACAATATGCCTCTTGATGCTTCATTGCTTGGTCTCATGTTTGCAATCTGCTGCTTCAGCAATAGGAAGAAAATTTATGTTAATCTGTAGTATTCTTTAACTATAAAAACATGGGGAATAGATATGAATCTAGTTGAGTGATTTCTAGTTGGGAAAGTTCAATATTCTTCTAATTTGAATAATTCAATACATTTTATTCTTAATGCAGCTTATGGATCAGCTGGATATTGACAATGTATTGGAAATTCCAGACACCCCCAACAGACAATCTTCACAGAATAAGGACAGTGGTGGAGTGAAAAAGGAGAGAAATCTATCTGTAGGAACTCATTCACAACAGGGGAAATTTTCTAATGAACAGCCTAAGAACCAGCTAAACGTCCATGGCATTGGAACCAGGAGACTTTTCATTCGTCCTCCAAGAAGGATCAATGGTTCTGGACATTCTGGCGAATTGGACTGCCATGCAATGTCTTCAGCTTTTAGCGTACATGATTCACCTTCTTCAAGAAATGACCTTTTACTTGGAAGGAAGGATACAGGTCCCCCCAACCACAAGGGAAAACACTCTTTTTCTGCTCAATTTAGAAAAAGAGAGAACCAAATGTTGAATCCTGAATTATCTTCCTGCAAAGGTGGTTTGGTTGTAAATTCAACAGAACAAAGTAGGGTGGCTCTTGGACTGCCAGGAAGTAGCCGAGTCAATGAATTTAAAAAGGGAGCTGTATCAAGCGGTGAATTCTCTTACTTGCAAAATAGGGAAAATGCTTCAGTGTCCACAAACAAAGTTGACAAAGAAAAACAAATTGATGATCGAAGTAAAGTTGGTGTGCATATTAACCATGGAGAGAGGAAGGAATCTGCTCATGATGTGCATCACAGTAGCATGAAGGATAGTTATGCACCTGTTATTACCCTGCCTAGGGTTGTTGGGAAGAAGAGTTTGGTACGAAATGGATGTATATCTCCAATCAACATAGCGAAGGCAAAACAACCAGTTGTGAAGGATCACAATGGTCCTATAACTGTTGAACAGAATTATACCTGCAGTCCTCTGGCATCATCTGGCAGTTCAAAGAATCCAATTAATGTTAAGGATTTGGTGTCTGAAGACCATACCTCTTGCTCAGCGAAGGGCTCTCGCTACGCAAAGGGAAAAGGGGTGATGGTCCAACCTTCTATTTTATCAGAACCAAATGCAGAAAGTGCAAATGCATCACACAGGTACTTATTACAAAATTGATCAATTAAGCTTTTTTGGTCTTAGCAACACTTCTTGCTTTCATTATTATGATGATAACTTGTTTGAACCCTAGTGATATGGCCCAGAAAACTGCTGAAAATTTTATAGAGATTCATTCATTTGTCATTATTTGTTTTTTACCTTTTTTTATTATTATTTTTTTTTATAACCATTTTTTCTATCAAACCTTGTCCAAATTTGAAAGTTGGAGAGTTAGTTCTGAAGTTATGAAAAAAGTGAATATATTTCACTATTGGTACATGGGATGAAATTACATCACGGTACTTATTAAATTGGTAATCTGCATATCAGATTACATTGTGGAAGACTGTAGTTCTTAATCGTTACCAGTGAATTTATTTGCAAATTTCCATATATACGCATCTCCAGTGTACCACAAAACAGTTGTTTTTACTGTTCCCCGAGGTATTCATTTGTATTTTTGGTTGTAGATTCATCATTGTTCCAAGTTTTAACTTGCTGTTATCATCCTCAATCAATAATCTAATGGTCAAATTATTTTTATTAAATTTAAATATGTTCTTCATATAAGAATTTATTCTCATCTACCATGGTAAATTAAATTTCCATAAACTTAATTTTCTTCTAGATCAAGGCTCTTATCATGAGGTTGCTTTATTGTTGAACTTGCAGAAATATTATAGATATTGATGATGAAGTGAATGAAACCACTGGGACCAGTCAAGATACTCTCAGAAGCTTTGAAGAACCAGGTGGATGGAGGAGTACACGAAATCGAAGTCAGAACAGGTTGTTAAGAAGAGGAAACAAAAACAATTCCCAGAATCTTGGTCATTATCCTATGTCTGAGGATTTATCCTCCCGTAGGCATTCCTTTGCACAACCTTCCAGTCATATGGCAGTGCCTCTTGGGGAACAATCAGGTCATGTTGATGTTCATCATTCAGTAGTAAATTCTCTTGGTAAAAGAAAAAAACATGGATCTACCTCAATCAATCATGGTGAATGTTCTACATCAGCATTTAATGATTCAGACATCATGTTTATTGGACCATCTAAGGATGTTAGAAGTTCTAGATCAGACGTGAACCAAAACCATCGCAGAAGAGATACCTTAGTACCAACCATTGAAATTGATGGTAGCCCCCCTCAAGCAAGAAATAACAGTTCTCAAGGTTTAGCTTGCCAAAGTGATGAAGATGCTACGGCCAAACAGGTAGAAGCAGATGAAATGCTTGCACGGGAGCTTCAAGAGCAATTATACAATGAGATGCCTGCTTTTGGAGTTAGTGAGGTTTTCCCTCTTACATCTCTGTGTGTATATCAGATGCATGTAGATACATTTGTTTAGTGAATATCTCTTTCTAGTGTGCACTATTATAATGCTAAATTTCCATATTGATCATTTCCACCTTGAGACAGATTGATGAAGGTTTTGCAAGGGCTTTGCAGCACCATGCTTTCTCTGGGGAAACGAACACAGTTGTTACTGTAAGCTTGCTGTTTTTAATAATGCAAAAAGTAACACTGCTGTAATCTTATTTTTATGTTGGAATTATATGTCATGCTAAAACTGTAAGTTTTGACCTAAAAAATGTGGCATGGATATTTAGCTCGGGCAAAGGAAGTACTTTTCCTTTTTAAAATTACATAAAGTGATTGGTGGAGCATTGCTTTTAGAAATGACATGTTGAATCCTTGAAATTTTGTTACTCAAAATTCACTGAAGTATATACTCACACCTAAACCTTAACCTCCTGATGTGATATTTTCATTTTTTTTTTCTCTTTCAATTTATAGAGAAGTAGATCGGTTGCAAACTCACAAAGACGATCCCAATTGCAATCTTCAACAAATGTTTCTCGTAGAGCGTCTTTAGCTCGAGCTTCTAATTCTAACAGATTAGTGAGATTGAGGAGTCGTTTTCCTGGACGAGCTCGTACTTTGTCATCACCAAGACGAAGGAATTCAATTTTTCCTCCTAATGTGAATGTGGAAACGGTATTGTGCAGTTTTGTCATTTTCCATTTTATCCCCTATTTTTTTGAATATTCAATTTTGAGTATTTTACTTAGATATAAAGAGAGACAAAGAGATAAATAGGGAAGACCTCAAACCAAATAACAGAAAAGGAAGGACAATTGAATATACTTTTTAGAAAATTTATTCACAGATAATATATTGTAGTGAATGGGCAATGTAAAGGAGCTGGGAAGTACAAAAAGATAACATCTAAATTCTACTCCTTTATAGAGCGTAAAATCCTTGTTTCGAAAGAAACAAAGGCCTATAATGTCATTACCTCTTCATAAATTTTTTAAAAAAGGTTCTGTTTTACGAGGGAGGAAATATTTGGCAATTTTGCAAAACCTGAAGATATTGAAAACTGTGGGGATGGCGGATGCTTGTTGATATAGCTCTTGTTATATCCCATTCTTTTTCTTTGTCCTTTTTAATTATGGGGTGGGGGGAAGAGGTTCGTTGAATCTATATGATGGCAGGGATTTTTGGGAATGTGATGTTTTCTAAAAGGTGAGTAAGTGGTCAGATGTGATTCAACTGAGGCAGGTGGATGTGTGTGTGTACATTTCTTCAGGAATCTTATGAAAATGAACATCTTAAGTATTTTCCTTGTCCTTATGAAAATATGTGCTGCTGTGTGTCTATTTATATTTGTCTATTTATATTCTAATCTTAATAATCTTCTATCTGAACTGTTGTGACAAAACCATTTTTGACACAAGTATATGAAAAACGGCTGTCAACTCTGTCAGGAAAGTTTTACTATTTAAAAGCACTTTGGCCACAGTGAGTTGTAGGGAAATTAACTTTACATGGTATTTTTATTAGTTTGATAATAAAAAAAATAAATTGTTAACATTTCTTATTCCATTTATATTTAATTCAGAGAATTCAAGTTTTGGAAGCGCTAGAGGCTTTTAGCAATATGGGAGTAGTTGGTAACTTTCTTCAAACTCGACAAGACTTCAACGAGTAAGATCTCTTCTCTACGTTTTTGTTTTTGTTTTTAACTAAAAAATGATTGATATTGATTTCATTGTATATTTGTATGTGCCTCTATGAAGTAGATGATTTCAGCATAAGTTCAATACTTCAATGGGAAGATAATTTCCAAAACAAATAAGTGACACCTACAAATTACAGCAACAAGATTACTTTATAGAGATATTTAGAAAATATTATGATGGTAGAAACCCCAAGCAGCTTAATTGTGATTTTTTACTTGCTTGGTTTCTGCTTATTGTGGGTAGAGAAAAATAACAAGAAAGACACTAAATATTTGTTGTGCGTTTTTATGATTTCTAGCTTGATCATGATGTTTTTGGTTATCAAATGCTAAGATGAGGTCCATGTGATTGCATCTGTTGTTTCATAGTACATGCATGATTGTAGTGACATCATTTTGAAGCAGTGAAATGACCTATTTGAAAGCATTAGAGAAATTGTTTGTGGATTGGATAATTATGTGATTCTGTCAATTCTGTGTTTTACTCACGCGATAGGAAATTGGGAATATAGCAAGTTCCATAAAAATGTTTTTGTATTTGTTGTTGAATAAAAGCAACTAAAGTTTAGCCATTGATCTATCTTTCTGTATGAAAATTTCAGTGCTTCGTTAGCAATTTCTGTATTATTATATATACATCCAGAATACAAAAAATAAAACTATCCTTCTGATCTTTCATATTTCCTCTCCTTGCTTTAGTAACGACTATGAAATGTTATTGGCACTTGATGAAAATAATCACCAACATTCCGGTGCATCAGTGAATCTGATTAATGGTTTGCCAGAGTCTGTTGTTCAGGTAATTTTGAATTGAAGTCTTCAGATTGCCGTAATAACAGTCTTTGCTTTGAACATTTACCTTCATGTAACAGGCATTAGATTATATCTTATTGGTTTTGATATTTGTCTCTTGCAGAATGAGAATCATGGCGAACCTTGTGCAATTTGTCTTGAAACTCCAATAATAGGAGACACTATCCGCCATCTCCCTTGCTTACACAAATTTCACAAAGACGTAATAGCCTTTTTTTGCCTTTTTCAGTTTGGAGTGAAACCTTTATAAGCCTAACCGGGCCTCTAACATGTTCTTAACTCTTTGCAGTGCATTGACCCATGGCTCCAAAGAAGAAGATTGTGCCCGGTCTGCAAGTCATCCATATCTTGATCTTTATCTTGGGTATTGGAGAATGGAGATACAAGGCTTCGTGTTCCTGTAATGCCAGACGGGATGACTACGAGGTCTTACTCTTATTCTTTGGGTGAATTCTGTAGTTTTTTTTTTTTTGGCTATACTGGTGTGGGATAAATGTCTACACGCTGCACATTTATAGCAATTTTTTTTTTTTTTTTTTTTTTTTTTTTTTTTTACATTGTTTATGGAGAATATCAATTTATCATTATAGAATCAAGTAATCGGCTAACATTTTGGCACAGTTTGTTTTGAATTGCTCAACTAATAAGATTAAAGCTGTGAGCTTTTACAAAAAAGTCATAGGCGATGCCCCTATATTAGATTACAATGGAAAGTTTGGTTCAAGGAATGTTTTTAGTTAATATAACATTTTCAGTAATTTCATATAACTTTAAAAATTGGGGAGATTGGAATTTTCATAGATGTGACACAAAAATTGAGATCATAAAAAATTTGTAAGGATGTATTCAATTTAGAATTTTAATGACTTTTGTGGACTTTTTAAAATAAAAAAGTTAAAAAAGTTTATGGATGTTTTTATATAGATTTTTATAAAGTCTTATAAAGTTTTAAAAAAAGTTTATGAATGTTTTTATATAGATTTTTATAAAGTCTTATAAAGTTTTAAAAAGTTTTAACGACTCTATGAAATAATCAAAATTTATTAAAATCTATTATGAGAAAATTTCAATTTTGGTCATATGATTATAGGGGTCTTGTTAATTTTAGTCCCTGATTTTCAAAAGTGTTAATTTAGTACCTTAACTATGTAATTTTTGTCAATTTTGGTCACTCCGGTCAAATTTTGTCAGAAAATTTTAATAATTAAAATAATAAGGGTATTTTGGTCGTTTCACGCCTCTTTTCTTCTTCTCCGGCGAGCCCATCCCTTTCTCTCCCGTTTCCAGCGTCCTTTCTCCGTGTAAATCCTATCTTTAATATCATCAAGCCTCCTTTCCCCATCATCTTAGTTCATTTCATTCGTCGGAAACAGGAGAGGAGGGGATGGATTCGCCTGGGAAGAAGAAAAGAGACGTGAAATGATCAAAATACCCTCATTATTTTAAAAATTAAAATTTTTCGAGAAATTTGGTCGGAGTGACTAAAATTGACAAAAATTACATAGTAAAGGTACTAAATTGACACTTTTAAAAGTCAAGGACTGAAATTAACAAGACACCTATAGTCATAGGACCAAAATTGAAATTTCCTCAATCTATTATTTAAAAAGTCTTTAAAATTTTACAATAAGTCATGATATTGTAGAATTTTAAGGATCGACACACACAGTGATGTTGAAACGTAAGTTGTAACACAAACGATCTGTAACGCAGTTCGGGCAAACAACCCTAATCTGCGAGGCACTTCTCAATTTGAGAACTTCCTAAATCCACTAAAAGCTCAATATTTAAAGTACACTGTTTGGAACCTGAGATTACACAATAGAATGATCTTTCCTACCAGACTATTGAAACCTAAACACATGTACTACTTTCTAGGGGAATTTAGTATCCTATTCTCAAATACTCTCGTACCTCACAAGATTAATGTTGAATGCTTGCCTTCTACAATAAAGGACAACCCCTATTTATAGTAGCTACTCCTAACAAATTCGTGAATAACAAAGCTATTCCTAATCAGACTAGAACTAAAAAAACTTCAATAACAATTCCCTTTAGAACTAGTATTCTTCAATAAGTACTCCTCTTAGGCTTGGTATTCCTTTATAGAGTTGGAATTCTTTTTGCACATAACTTTGACAAAACACTTTGAGTCAACAAGGTTCATTTATGCTTTATCTTTATCTTTTTCCCCATTTTCCCTCAAAAAAAAAAAAAAAAAAAACCCTTGGAAAATAGAGGTTTTAAGCATTTAACCTTCAAAATTAATGTTTCTAGTACTCCAAAAACTTTTTCCAACACAATCTTGACATCTTAAGTAAAGCCGTTAAAATGGGATTAGTTCGTTCCGCCGCTTAGTATGTAAAAAAAAAAAAAAAAAAAAAAAAAAAAAAAAAAAATATATATATATATATATATATATATATATATATATATATATATATATATATATATATATATATATATATATATATATATATATATATATATATATATATATATATATATATATATATATATAGTTGAGTTCAAATGAGGACCGTTATATTATAGTGGACTGTGCGGACTAGTATAGTTGTGTGCTATTAATCTGTATGTCGTGTACCTGGCCTAACGTAGTCGTGTGCCACAGTTTTTATGTCGTGTGCATAGGTTTGTTAATTAATAGAGTCTGAGTTCAAAACTTGATGTTTACATGTATTCTTGTGTGCCTTTGTGTATTAAATTGTATAAATGATACTAATTGTAATAAGTCCGCACAGTCCTCTATATATTGTGGTCCTCATGTGAACTCAACCGTGTATATATATATATATATATATATATATATATATATATATATATATATATATATATATATATATATATATATATATATATATATATATATATACAAGTTTTTTTTTTTTTTTGGTATTTTTCTTCTTTCGCCTTCATATTATTTTTTTTTCTTTTTTTTTTTTTCCTAAATGTATAGGCCTGCTCTGCATTTTTCGCTTCTCGTTTCTCCGATGAGGCCTGCTCTGTGAAGTTTGGTATCGGAGAAACGAGAAGTAAAAAACGCAGAGCAAACCTATACGTTTAGTGAAAAAAATACGAAAAAAAATTATAAAACGAAGGCGAAAGAAGAAAATTACAAAAAAAAAAAAAATTAATAACAAAATCAATGTCAGCAATATTATTACCGGTAGCAGGGACGGAGCCAGAAATTCGGTTGAGGGGGGGAGGGGGCAAAGCTTAGGGACGGATTCAGAAATTTTTTCTAGTAAAAGCGAAACATTAAAACATAAGAGATAATTTTTTTAAAAAAAATTACCTAAGAAATATAGTTGTATATATTGTTGGATATGAACGAAAAATAAAATACATCGAAACTTTATAAAAATATTAATAACAAAATATGAAACTTAATTAATTTGATAAAATAATTTGAATAGAAAACACATTATAAATTACACATCTCACTATTAATATAAAAGAATGATAAATGTGTGTGTAAAACTATATTAATACCAAAAGATTTGAACCCTTAAACTTTACTATTACCAAACATATATTCTACCAACTAATCTAACTCATTTTTTGTTGATATTTAATAGTTTTTTATAGACGAAATTTCAATTTTGGTCATATGACTATAGGAGTCTTGTTAATTTCAGTCTCTGACTTTCAAAAGTGTCAATTTAGTACCTTAACTATGCAATTTTTGTCAATTTTAGTCACTCCGGCCAAATTTTGCCGAAAAATTTTAATAGTTAAAATAATGAGGGTATTTTGGTCGTTTCACACATCTTTTCTTCTTCTCCGGCGAGTCCATTTCTTTTTCTCCCATTTTCGGCGTTCTTTCTCCCTGTAAACCCTATCTTTAATATCATCAAGCCTCCTTTCCCCATCATCTTAGTTCATTGCATTCACCGGAAACGGGAGATGAAGGGATGAACTCGCATGGGAAGATGAAAAGAGACGTTAAATGATCAAAATACCCTCATTATTTTAACAATTAAAATTTTCTGGCGAAATTTAGCCAGCAATTTGGCCGGAGTGACCAAAATTGACAAAAATTGCATAGTCAAGGTACTAAATTGACACTTTTAAAATTCAAGGACTGAAATTAACAAGACCCCTATAGTCATATGACCAAAATAGAAATTTCCTCGTATTATATATACATATATACATACAAATATTATATATGGGGTGAGAGGGTGGGGGGGGGGGGGGGGGGGGGGAGGGCAGCTGCTCCCCATTTGGCTCCGTCTCTGCCAGTAACCTGTAGGAAACATGTAAAAAGTTATAGACGAAAAAAAATTGTGGTTTATGGCTCTAAATATCACTTATCAAAGATCATGGTGCGACATGAATAATCATGAATGGTTCATAGTGCGGGATGACACTTTAGCCTTTTATTTGGTTTGGTTTGGTTTTGGTTTTGGTGTTTTTTTTTTTTTTTTTTTTTTTTTTTTTTTTTCATTTTTTAATATTAATAGTGAGATGAGTGAACTTTTGTTATTGGCATTTTTAATATTAATAGTGAAAATTCTAATTTGATTTTTTATTTGTAATATTATTTAGACTTCTTCACTTTTTTATTTTTATTTTTTCTTTATTAATATTAATAGTGAGATGAGTGATTTATCCTGTGTTTTCCATTCAAACTATTTTATCTAATTAATTATGTTTTATATTTTGTTTTACATATTTTTTTTTTATCTTGATGTATTTCGATTTTTCATCTCTAGCAGGGCCGGTTCTGAGCATGTCTAACATGTGCGATCGCACAGGGCCCCAACTTTTGTGGGCCCCATATTTTAAAAAAAATAATTATATGTATATATAGTATACATGAAATTGTTATGCGGTGGAACCGTGTCCACCTTGCAAGTTGGACACGGTTCTATGTTCATAATTACTAAACTCTATGTTCATAATTTTTTAACTTCATATTCACAATTATTGAACTCTATATTCACAATTACAGAACTCTATGTTATAATTATAAAACTCTATGTTCATAATTTTTTAACTTCATATTCACAATTATTGAACTCTATATTCACAATTACAGAACTCTATGTTCATAGTTATAGAATTCTATGTTCATAATTATAGAACTCTATGTTCATAATTTTTGAACTCTATATTCACAATTATGACAGTTTTGGAATCGTGTCCACAACATAATTTGCTTGTCAATTTCAGGCTAAGTGCAAGAAGATTGGGTCAATTTCTGATAAGGTGAAATTGAGCCCAAATGGCAATTGCTTTAAACTCAAAAAAAAAAAGTGTGTGTGTGTGTGTATATACAATATTTATATTTTGATACAACTTTTTAAACAACTATTAGGCAAATTATTTGTGTGGACCATGGTCCACACAATGTTATGTGGACCATAACAAAAAATACACTTTTAATATACTAAATGTACATTATTTTTGTACTGAATGTACATTATACAATATAATGTACACTCAAAACAAAAATAATGTACATTCCATGAATACAATGTACATTATTTTTGTACTGAATGTACTTTATTTTTGTACTGAATGTATATTATTTTACAGTAGACAAAATATGGTCCACACAACTTGTGTTTACCATGGTCCACACAATAATGAT